TAGATTTCCACATGACAACTCAAAGATCTAGTACAACCCATATAATGAGTAGTCTCTACTGCTGATGACAACGGTGGCCTGCTTAAAGGGAGCTGAAAGCAACCATTAGTTTCATAATACGCTTTGAAATTTAATTTCAAGAATGCCAAAGCATGCTCACTCTCTGGCACTGTTTCAATCTGGTTAGAAATGTTAAAAAGAATGCTGCTATTATGTACAGCCAAGCTCTTGTGGAGGTCTGGAGGAGTGAGGGTGGTCAGTAGGACATTCTGCAGCTCTAACGTTTTAGCACTGTTACCTGTTATTGTGTCAAACCATTGAAATAGGTTAATAATGCTGCTGTGCTGTTGCTGGATGGTATTTTTCTTGTCATTTTTGCATGAAAGCTACCCTGTTATTACATTTCTAGAAACTTCCCATTAATTTGTCTTCTATATGGAAATTGTAATTTTTTATAGGAGTTAACATTTTTTATGATTCCTAGGCTCCTTTGTCATAACTGTCGGTTGTCATCTATTTTGAAGTTTGTTCACTGATGTAGCTTGTGGGGGTAGATTTCACGTTTCTTTTGGTAATCCCTCCATCTTTTGTCTGTTTGACATTTAAGTTGAGGTTGAAGTCTGCCTGTATATACAAATTGTAATGTCCCTAGTACCATCCCTCCTCAGGTTAGCCTGTTTGACAAAAATGTGGCTTATCTGGTCAGTGTGCAGGCTTTACCCAATCAAGTTAGGAAGACACCCTGTACCAAGTCTTGCCATAGTCCTTTCCTTTGATGGAAAATTAAGGAAAAAAACTTCTTTTACCTCTTGTTGCTTGTGTTAAATGTTAAAATGTTTTAAGTCGCTGCAGGGAGACTACTCTAATGCATGGTGAAGGCAGGGTAAATACCATAGCGCATTGAAATGAAAATATTGGTTGTGATTATACCGCAATAGGAAAAAGTCTAATTTGTGGCACTGGTGAATCTATTTTAGGATTGTCAGTGTCAAACACAAACATGTTTGTTCGTCACTGTAATCTGAACCATGTCAGAAGAGTACGTCGATTTAGAAATATTGAATGATGGGTAAACAAGTAAGGTTGTCATTTCTGAAGGCATTCACCATTCTAACCTGACCGTTACACCTTTCTCTGTTGCATTCAATGAATAAAACAATCTTTTCTAATTCATTATTTGTCATGAAGGGACTGAAGCTCTGTCTGTACTTATCCGTATTAAATAACTTTCAACAAAGCAGATTGATGTCTTAAATGTTAAGCCACACTAAAACTGTAAGATTTAGAGAAATTTATTCTATAAAGTTAAATGTGACTTGAAATAGACTAACTGAAATGCAAGTGGTTTATTAACATTGCTAATAACATTATTACTTGAAAATTTTGAAATATATTTGATTAAAGCGATCTACTAGGAAATATTTATTCTTAAAAGTTTGATGACACTTGAAGGAATATTTTCAGGGTTTTGTCCTTCTAAGATTCTTCGTGTTCTTAAGCATGTGTGTGTGTCCAGGAAAGATTTCTGAAATAGCAGAGAACAATGATAAAATGTTCATTTAAATTGCTCTGTGCTTTCTTTTCCCTAAAGTAGTACATTAAATGTGAAAGACCATTAAAACTTGAGCTGTTTTGAGCTAATTCTAGGCTGCTAAAAAGCAGAATACAAAGTATACAGTATTAATCCTGGAGGTTACCATTGACCAGAAACTTAACTGGACTTTCCAAATAAATACCACAGCTGCAAGGGAAAGTCAGAGGCTACAAATACTGGGTTAACTTGCCTCCTGTCTCCCTAATGCCTGTCCACCATTTGCAAGGCACAAGTCAAAAATATGATGCAATACTCTGCACTTGCCTGGATGTGTGCAGTTCCAGCAATGCTCAAGAAACCCAACATCATCCGGGAATAGAAGGCAGCTCAATACTACCCTCTCCAGGACAACTAGGATGGTCAATAAATGTTGGCCCAGCTAGTGGCGCACACATCACATGACTGAACTTAAGAAAAAAATCTGTATATTTTGCTGTATTCGGATGTGTAACTGTAAAGTTTGAGATCAATATTGGAAATTTCCTGTGTGATGG